TAATTTCATTTTTAAAGAAGGGTTATTAAATTTTCAAAGAAATAAATAATATTTAAATATAATGACTTTTTCTTGAGATTAATAAATTATGAGTCTTCTGTATAATTTTATATTAGATATAAATACTCATTTTAATCAAATAAATATTTTAAAATTAATAATAAGTAAATTCAAATTAAATAAAAATGTCGAAATTGAAGTAAAAGATACTTGAGTACCTATAAAATGAAAAATAATAATGATTATTGAAAATGTTTTCTAAAATTTTTAGAAATATTATAAAATAAATTAAGCCTTTAAGGATTTATATTAGGTATTTCTATTTCTAATTTATTATCATAAAAAGTGGGAAGATAATTAGAAATGAATTCTAATAAAATAAAAATTAATAAAGTAACAAAAGTGATTTTAAATATAAAATTCTAATGATTCTTAAAAAAATTTCAAATAATAATATTATTAAGGACTTAAAATTTTAATAAAAAATAAAATTGTATTTGGATTGGAATGGAATGGATTGTATAAGAAATAAATGAAGACGATAATAAAAGCTGATAAATAGTTAAAGAAATAATTAAAAGTTATAAATTTCATAAAGGTGAAAATTGTTATAGGGTAAATTAATCTCAATTATATTTTGAACAAATCAGTAAATATTATATTCATTTTTATTTTTTTCAATTAAAAAAAATAAAAAAAGTTAAATAGATTAAAATTATTTTTCAGTTGCTAATGCTAGCAATCTTAATTTAATGATTATAATTATGCTTTTAAAATAATTTTAACAACTTTAATAGAATAAATTATATCTTTTAAGTCTAATAATTATAGGTTTTTTTAAAAAAATTAACCTTAATTATTATTGATTTATGAATTTCAGTTCTTAATAGCTTAGGAATAAATTTGTTTGTTTTATTAGAAAATAAAGTTAGTAGTATGTAGTGGATAATAATAATTATTATTAAATTAAAAAATAATATAAAACTATAATAGTGAATATAAATCTATACCTGTTAATTAATAAGATATTTATTAAATTTTAAAATAATAATTAATTATACCCTTTAGTAAAACTTAAATTTAAGCTGAAAACATATTTTTATTTTAAATTAGATTATTGTTATAAATTGCTAAATAATAATTTTTGGTATTATTCAAATGTAAAAATATATAAAACTATTTATATTTTATATATATTTAAAAAGAAATTTAAATAAAAATATGAATTTATTTATTTATATGTTAAAATTTAAATTTCTTGCTCTTATTTTTTTAACACTATAAAAATGAAAATTTATATAAAAAACTTATTGAAATTTATAATTAATTATAATTTAATTTTTATATTTAAAAACATATAAAAAAAGTTTATTTTTAATACATATAATACATAATTTTTTTTCTAATTTTATTTTTATATATTTTGTTTATTAAAATAAATTAATGAATTAACTTTATATTCGATAATTTGTAGATATTTAAAATCAAGAAGAACAACTTAATTAAATCGAAAATTAAAAAAAAATGAAGGAAAAATACCTCAAAATATTAAGATTTAAAGTAAAACCAGAAAATCACAAATTATATTTTTTTAATAAAAATATTTTTAAAAAACAAAAGAAATCAGTAAAGAAATTTAATGGAAAAATAAATAATAAGGTTAATTATTTTAAGTAAATTTAAGTGAACTGCTTTAGATAGGAGTAATTTATTTAATCTAAAATATTAAAAAATCATAAAAAGAAATCAAAAATAAATGGAAATTTAATATTTAGTACTTAATAAGAATAAAAAGTATGCAAAATAAATCCTTCCTTGTAAAGCATTTTAAAATTAAATACCGAATATTGGAAATTTAAATTTGATTTCCATAGTTAACTAATAAATATATTCAAAGCAAATTATATTTAAAATGTTCAAAAAATATAAAATGAATCACATATTTTAATTTCTATTTATTAAAAAATTAGGATATTTATTCAAATCCATATATTAATGTTTAATAATTTTGTTTAAAATTTAGATGGAAGAATTTAAGTGAAATTAAGATAAATCCTTGTCTTAAATTTAATTAGAATAATTTTTATTTTGAAGTAATAAAAAAAAAAAAAATACTAAATATAAATTACTTAAAAGGTTTAAGGAATATTATAATAATCGGAACAAAGTGAAAAATAAAGTTCTTTAAAACTTTTGAAATTCGAATTATAACATATAGCTAATCCTTTAAAAAATATTTATCTTTAAGTAAAACAAAAAATTATAATTTTTTTAATTTTTTTAAAGTCAGTTATAAACAACACAAAAAACAAAACAATAAATATGTATTTAAATAGCTATTATATTAAAGAGAATGATGATTTAATTAATACAAGTTTAAGCTTTACTAATTTAAATTAATATCCAGATAGTTTTACAATTTATTATAAAAAAAGGAAAGTTTTTGATTTATAAACTGAATTGTTAAAATTTAAATATAAAATATTAAAATATATTTTTTATTTATATATAGAAATTTCAAGAAGAATTATATTAATTTTTAAATGCTTTAAGTATTTAAAAACTACTCTTTTGGTTATTGCTTATAAAAAACATTAGTAAATTAGGACAATTAAAATAATGGATAATATAAAAAAGATAAACTTAATAGAGTTGATTTTATGTTTAATTCCAAATAATTTTATTTATGTGATAATTTAAGTGTTAAAACTTATATTTAAAATTTTACAAACATTATTCTATTATTGAAATTTTAAATTGGTATAAATAGTTCTATAACTACCGGATTTTAAGTATATAATTCTTTTGTTTATTTATATATATTTTAATTAAAAAAAGTAATAATTATTTACTTTCAAAAATTAAAATAATGATTAACAATAAAATTTGAATATTCCATTTTTTGTTAATTTAAAATTAAATTGAAATTACTATTCAGAAATAAAAGAAAAATGAGAAAATAACAAAAATAGATTTATTTATTTATTATTATATGGTTTTTAGAATAAATTTATATTTATAATATTAATTAATTATATTAAAAAAAATAATAAATAAATATAGTTTAATATATTATATATTTAATTAGATTATTATTGTCTAAAAAATATTTTTCATTAACATTGTGAGTAATTTTAAATTTCGTCATTTATTTAATTAAGTAAAGTACTAATTTTTTAACTTTTTTTTAATTCATCATTCATAATTTATAAACAGTTATTCTATTAAAGATATGTAATTATTAATTCTGATTCTTTTTTACAATGCATCTGTTTTTCAACTATAATAATTTTAATTATACTTCTTAAAATCATAACATTTAGATCAATATTAAAATCTTAAATTTTATTAATAATAAGTTTTCCTATATCAAATTAATTTATAGTTTATTCAATTTATTAATCGTCTGTTAAAACAATGGTGCATAAAGCAAAAATAATATCATTTTAAATCTTTGTAAAAAAAAAATAGTAAATATATATATTAAATATGAAATATATATATATAAATATAAATATATATAATATATATATATATATATTTTATATATATATATATAAATATATTTATATTTAATAATTTTTTTTTACTTTATTATCTTAGTTTTTAAGTAATTAAAACATATTTTTCATAAAATCTTAATTTGATAATAATATGTTAACTACATTTTATCCTGATGCACATATATTTGATATTATGAATGTCAAAAATCTTTTTATTTTTATTTCTTATATATCAATTAATTTATTTATTATATCTAATAGTCCTAACGTTATCAAATACTTTATTTATTAATAAATTAATTTTTAAATAAAATAATACTTCTGTAATTTAATTATCTAAATAAATAAGATTTTATAAAATACTCAAAGGTATTATTATTTCTTCAATAGGTTTAACATCTTTAAATAAATTTAAAAACTACAGAATTTTAAGAATTAAAGTATTTTAAAATTAATTATAAAAAAAATAAATATTTTCCTCATTTTTTCTATTTGTTATTGCCAAAATAGAAGATTAAAAATTATTTAAAATATTATGCTCACAATTTATATCACATAAATGATCTAGAATATTTAAAAATTAGCATATTAAACTAATTTCAATTTCTTCATATGAACAAATTTATAATATTATAAATGAAAAATCTAATACCATTAAACTTTCTATTTTAAAAGTTGTATATAAAAATATTTCTTCGAAAATATTAATTGCATTTGAATTTATAATGTTTTAAATTACTTCACTATTTCCATAACATAAATTTGCTAAGCAAAGTATACATAAACTTTATATTTACTAATTTTAATTTTAAAGTAATCTATATATATTCTACATATCTATATATTATAAAATTTATTATGAATATTTATAATATCCGCTTGCGAAATTCGAAATTATATATAAGACAGTCAATTATAATTCATTTTAGTTATCATATTGAACATTTAAATACGGGACTATAAATTATATTATATTACTTTTATATAATACTTCATTATTTTTTATAATTCTGGTTAATATTTTTTGATGATAGTAATATTCGAATTTTTTTAATATTTAGGGCACATTATACTATTAAGTTTGCTAATCTTATAATAGTTAGCTATACTCTTATATACATGACTATATTGTTAAGTTTTCTAAATAATCTGTTTCTATCTAAAAACGCTTTTATTATATTTTTTAATAATTTTTTTATTATCTTATTTATTATCTTTATAATTCTTTTTTATGATTTACTAGATGCTTATACATTTTTTTATCTTATTTTTAGACAAAATTAATTGAATTGTTCAAATTTTAAATTTATATAATTTATATTTATAATGAAATTATATGCGGGAAAAAAATTATATGAATACATATTATTATTATATAAAAAATGATTTTAAATATTATTAAATGTTTTTACATAATTACATAAATATAAAATATTTATTTTAATCTAAATTTTCTTAATTTTTGATATAAAATAGAAAAAATTAAATAAACTTTAATCAATGTTTAAAATAAGGACGTGATTAAATAATTGGATAAGCATTATTATTTCTATTGTGTTTTATTTATATAATATCATTCCAAAATCCATCTTCATTATCATAATATTCTAGCTATATATTAAATAATAAAATTGTAATTAAAAACATTATTTAGATTTTTTTTATTTTTAATATACTGGTAAGTCACATAATTCTTCTTCAATTTCGTTCTCTTAAAGCCTTTTAGGTACTCCAACTCTTTCATTTAATTTAGAAGAAGTATGTTCATCTTTGTTAACTTGTTGATACCAAGATTCCATATCCTAAAAAAATAAAAATACAAATATAAATAGAAATACATATTTAAAATTACAGCTTCAAAAATAAGAATATCAGAGTCTTTCATAATTTATTATTCTTTCAGAGTCATTTTATATTTATTACTTATAATCATTTATCTAGCAACATTATAAATAACTATAAAAACGTATATAAAAAAAATATAAAAATAAAATTAAAAAATTGTTTACGTCCATCAACTGGTAAAGATAATTTAGAAGCATAGTTAGTAGCAAGAATTTTATCTTTGTGTGAAATATCATGCCTTTTATATTCATAAACTCTTGCAACATTTTTTACAAATAAACTATTTCTTACGAATTCAGGAAGAGTATAATAATAAGTATAACAAGAAGGTAAACCACTAAATTAATACAATTCTTTAGCTTAATTTTATAATTAATTTATTATTTAAATATAGTTATTAAACCAATTATGCATATGAGGATATTAAGAAAATACACTCCATTTATCAATTATTGGAACTTCATAATGAAATACATTTGTACTTACTCGTTCCGGAATAGGAGGAATTTCATATTCATTAAATCCACTATGAAAAGTCATATTTTGTTCAGCATAAACAACTTGTTCTGCAGCCGAAATGTCTTCTGGATATTAATAATTTTAAGGTAAATTTAAATAAAGTTAGTTATCAAAACTCATTCTTGGAATATTAGTTTATTTATAAAAAAATTATCCTATTCCACCGTCTCCAATTTTAAAGTCTTCATCGTTTCCTGCATTTTATTATTCTTATTAAGCTAATAGTTCTTGCTCTTCTTAAGGTATATTCTCTTCCATTTAACGATATTGATTATAATCTATTTCTTCATCAGTGCTTAAGTCTAAATCGTCATCGTCTTACTATTATTAATGTATTTTTTAGAATTCATCTTCTATTAGTGATGGATCTATTTCAATCCATTTCTTTAAAAATTCAGGTGTATTTACTCCTCTAGTTATTGTTCCTAACTATTTCATTTATTCTATTAATACTCTGTACGGTTCAGGGCAATTTTATTCATACCATTCTATTATTTTTAATAGTTTTTTATTTTTGCACACTTATTTATTTTTTACATATGAAATATTCTGGATCATCTATTGGATTAGGTCCTAAAGGACTTCCAGGATAAAAACTTTCTGGTACACCCATAGTTTCTGGTGTAAACTATAAATTAATTTAAAAAAATATTTTTATTTTTTTTAAAATTACATCAATATTTTTTAAATCTTATTCTAAACGCCAACTTTCTAATTTCTATTATTTTGTTAAATTATCAGTTAAACCTAAAAAATTTAATGCATAATCTTGTATTTCGAGATCTTCTTTATGAACAAAAGAATTTATTAAATTAAGATTTCTTTATTCAACTAAAGCATAATCAACACCTTATTCGTCTTTTACTTTTTCTTTTAATCTTTAATTATCACTAATCTATATTTTTAATTTCTTTTATTTATCTAGAATATATTATTATATTAGAGAAATTGGTAAATCTTATGTTTTAGAGTTTGTTTCTACTTTTATAAGTGTAGATTTCAATTATTCTTATTTATTTAAAAGGGTTTATTAAGAATGCTTTTGGTGAAATTGGTTAAATCCAGTAGTTATTCTTTATTATCTTTCTTATATTTCTTCTTATGGAATGTTAAATTGCTTTAAATATTTATTATATGAATCTAATATTGATTTTTATATTTCTTCTGATGATTTTAAAGGTATTTCTTTGGATTATTACTAATCCTCTTCTATTTATTTTTGTTACTATTATTATAATTATTTGCTAATGTCTTTAGTATTTTATGATTTCGGATTTTGAGAGTTTTATGAAAATAAATTGATTTGTTTAATTTGCAAATTTTTTTGATTCTTTAAAATTTTAGGAAGAAATTTAAACATTATTTAATTTTATTTTTTCTTATAAAGTAATATTGAATAAAAATATATATATACTAAATAAATAGATATCTTTTTTATTAATATTTTTAAATTTATATATATTTATTTATTATTTTTTTAATTATATATGTAATACGAAGCAAATGAAATTAAATGGATTAATGATTTTTGAAAAAACTATAAGAAATTAATTAAATGTTTTATAAACTAAATTATTTATAATGTTTCGGTAACTAGCTTTGTTATTATATTATATTATTTATTTATATTTTATACAGTATTTTTAAAAATATATATTTTCTTAATTTTTAATAAAAAAATAATTTAATAATAATTATTAGTTTATCCATTTATACATGTTTTATAAAATTATTAGATATCAATTTATATTTTAGATGTTATAATAGTTCAATTCGTATTTAAAATAAAAAAATCAATCAAAATATAACTATAAATATATATTTAAATGATCAAAAAAATAAAAATTATATGAAAAAATTTAAACAAAAATTATAGTAAAAAAATATTAAAAAAATTCAATTATTAATATTTAACTTAAATAATAATCCATTTAAACTTTTTTTTATAAATAATTAATTTATATGAATAATTTTTATAAAAAAATTAAAATTATAGAATTTAAAAAAAATGAAATACATTTAAATATGGATTAATTAAATATACAGATCATAAAAAAACTAAATATTTTTTAATTATTTACAAATATAAGAGTGATAGAATAAGATTCTTTTGGGAAGGTAATACAAGATATATAATAAAAAAACAGAAAAAAAATAAAATTAAAATTATATTTTTCTAAAAGAAATTAGATATATTAAAATTAAAAGTAAAAAAAAATTATAGTAAGATAAGATAAGAAAAATAAATCTATATAAACTAATTAAAAATAAAAAATAAAATTTGATACAAATAAATGAAAAATAAAAAAAAAAATTTATAAAAGTAAATTAAAATCATATTGAAAAAAAAATAAAGAATAAAAAATATTTGATTTTAAAAATAAAATATATAAAAAAATATGAAAATATTAATGAATTAAATTAATTTATACTTAACAAATAAAAATAAATAAAAATAAAAAAATATTAGATAAAGATAAAATATATGTATAAAAAAATTGTAAATATACATAAATTTACAAATATAAATATATATATATGAATATTTTTAAATTAAAATATATATATATATAAATAATATATATATATTTTTATATATATATTTTATAGATATTATTTTATATAAACTTTTATTTTATTTTAAATATAAGAATTATTAAACATAATTTATATTTTTTTTATTTTTCTTCTCTTTTATTTTTTTTTTATTTGAGAGATTTAATTTATAATGTTTTTTTTTTTTCTATATGTTATTTTTAATTTATTTTTTATTTTCTAATTTCCGTCAATATATTTTATTATTAGATTTTTTATTTCTCCTTTTTCTTTATTATTATATATTTATAATATTTTATATTAAAAATATATAATTTTAAATATGTTTATTTCTTTGCATTTTTGAAAACAAAATTAGCTAAAATTATTTATATATATTTATTTTTAAATTTTTAATGGAAATATATCTTTTATATTATGTATTTAATTATCTATTTATTTCTGAAAATTGGTATGATAAAGTCCTTTAATCTATATGCTTTATGAAAGAATAATTTATAAATATTTAATATATATAATAATAATATATATATTCTCTTTTTTTTTTTAAAAAAAAAAATAATATGATTATTTTTTAAAAAATAATATGATTTTTTATTAGTTTAATGAAAAATAAATGTCAATAAAATCATAAAAAATGAAAATAAAAATTTAAAAAATTGCATTAATTATTTGCTAAAAAATTTAATAAAATAATTCTTTAAAGATAAATAAAAATAAATAATATAATTTTATTAACAAATTAATGTATATTTATATTTTATTTTAAAAATACACAAGGTAAGTGAAAAATAAATTAAATATTAAGATACATTAATTTATAAAATACTAATATAGATTATGTTTAAATCCAAATACATAAATAAACTATCCCTATAAATATATATTATTTAAGAGATACATATATATACATTATAAGAAAAAATTAAGTGATAAAAAAATGGGTGATAAATAATACAGGATTTCATAGTAATATCAACTTAAATATTATAATATTTTATAAATTAAAATAATATTTAAATTTTTCTTTATAAAATATAAATAATAAAATATTTAAAAAATCATTAAATGAATAAAACACTAAAGATAAAATAATATTGAATAAAAATATCTTTAAAATAAATTTTCTATTATAATTATTAAATAAATTATAAACTAAAAATTTATTCACAATATATATTTTATATTTTTTTAAATATTTACTTATTTAAATAAAATTAAATATATAAAAAACATTTATAATAGAAACGAAAATTATAAATTTATTTTATTTGTAATTCTAAATAAATAAATTGCATATATTATACTTATATATGTTTAATTATCCAATAATATGACATTATTTTATTATTAAATATTTATTGAAATTAATTCAAAAATATATATTCTATTATAAATAGATATATATCTATATCTATATAAAATAAAATTATTTAAATATATTTAATTTTTAAATTTTTATGTTACGCGTATTTCTTTATCCTTTAGGGAATGATCCTATAATTTAATATATTAATAAATTAAATATTTATTTTTAAAATGGGAAATACTGCCAATTGTATAACATAATGTGATTAAAAGAATATAAAATAAAGTCCAACATCAAATAATTCTAATGGAAATAATAAGAATTTTAATTTAAAAGAAGTACTTTTATTTAAATTATATTTTTTGTTATTTTTATAAAAACAATTTTTTATTTAGTTTTTTCATTTTTTTTATTTATAAATATTTAAAATATACTTTTTTATAAATAAAAATAAAATAAAAAGAATAACCCTATATAATGCAATAATTATAAAGAAACATATAAAATGTTTAATGAAAATATGATTTTAAAAAATTAATATGTAAATTATATTAAAATATAAAAATAATAATAATAATTTTAAATAAAAAATAGTCCATATTTTCAAATAGTTTTAATAATTTTACATTTTAAAGAATAACTCATAAATAATAAATAATTAGCTAAATATAAAACTAAACAAATAGCGATTCTAGTTTAATGATATTAATAAATTAATTAGAAACACCTTGTTAATATAAAAAATTAACTACAAAAATAATAGATATGGAAGAATATGAAAAGCCAGTATATTTTAAGAAACGAATAAAATAAAAATAACAAATTTAAAAATTTAAGATTTCGAAATAAAAAATATATTAAGCCAAAGTAAAAAAGTAAAGTATTTTTTTGTGAAAAAAAATCTGAACCTTTTGTTGTAAAAATAATAAAGAAAAGCAAAATAAAATAAGATTAATTGTTTAAAATTATTTCTACAGAAAGATAAATTTTAGCTATTATGAATAGTTCTTATACTGTTCGCTTAGAATATTCATTTTAAGACGAAAAAAATATTTATTTAGTTACTGATTATAAACCGAATGGAAATTTAAAAGACTTTTAATTCAATAATAAAATTGATTTAGATTAAATTAAAATTTTCATAGTTTAAATTTCACTTTGTTTAAATCATTTACATTAATAAAATATATTTTATGGAGGTTTAGAGTTAGAAAATATACTTTTAGATGAATTTAATCACGCTTGTTTGTGTGACTTTTCAAATTCTTTGATTTTAAATGATAAAAAATAACTTATAAAAAATTAAATTAAATAATTTTGTTAAGAAAAAAGTATTCCTTTTAAAATATTTTAATAAAATAACATTTTTGCAGCTGATTATTGGAATTTAGGGATTGTTATTTATTAATTATTATATAAAAAACATCCTTATTTGTATAAATCAAGGGATATAAATAAAAAAAATTAAGATATTTTGATAAATTATTACACTCAAACATGTTTAGGTTAAGTAGTACCATAAGAATATATATAATTTTTAGAAAATTGCTTTTCTTTTGAAGAAAAAAATAGAATTAATTCATTTTAGAATGTATATTAATAAAAAATTTTTAAAGGATTCGACTGGAATCAAATAATAGATAATTATGAAAAAAAATATTTGTAAAAAAATTCAAATAATAGCTAAAATATAAGTATAAATTATTTATGTGAATCAGAATATTATGATTTTTGAAATAATCAATTTT